AATTTTATGAATCTCTTGTCTCTGTTAATGAATATGGACCCAGATTCTTAAGTCAGCCTGATTATAAACTCTACAAATTCAGTTAGTGATGATCCAACACGACCCCAGTAAGTAATTAGCTTCCAATAACAAGGAAACGAAGTGCTTAGTATTTGCTATTCTTTCAGCTTTATGTAACTTTGTAGAATGTGCTTGAAGATCAATTAGTTCAGTTTTCTTTCTGTTCTTACAACGTTTATACTTTCAGTCAGCCAGCTGCAACGTAGAACTTCGTCCGTAAGTACATCAGTCCATATTGCCATACCACATTAGCACAGAGACGCAATAGTGGTAGAGATAGTAGAGGTATTACTGGTAAATTAGAAGATTAGGGTTCCAAGATATTATTGAAGAAGTATAATTCAGTGAGATAAGTTTAGAAAGACAAAGGTAGAGGTGTTGACCAATACAAAAGATTAGGATTTGAGAGAACACAAAGATCTGATGCACCGGCGCCATTGCTAACGATTTTGAGCCATATCACTCAATGTCTCTAACCATTGGTGACTTTCATCTCGCGGAACCCAACCAGGTAGCCTACATCTACCAACATGACTCAGTCCACCTAACACTGACTTCATGGATTTGTGCCATGTTTTGGTCTGGCCGCCCCTAACTTTCTTCAAACCTACTTCTACACCACAAAACATAGCTCGTCGAGGCAGTCGTTGGTCGTGAATTCGTATCACATGTCGCAACCACCAACAGATGAAGATTCAATACTTCATCTATTGATCTGCCATCCTTACCTAGAACTCGTTTCCTAACGATAATATTGCTTACTCGGTTGTACCAGAATACACGATCAATGCTTCTAAGACATCCATGATCGAAGACCAGTAACTACGAATATCTTATATTCTTACCGGCCATGTTTCGCAACCATATAGGATAATGGAGCGAACTACTTCGCAGAACACTCTTCCTTTAGTCAGCAAATGGATATCTCGCCTTCGCTATCAATGACGCAACTTGGCAAAAGCCAATCGAGCCTTCTGTGTCCGTGCTGAGATTTCGTCACACACCAGGCCATCAGCACAGTTGAGACTCGAGATAAGTGAAGCGGTCTAGACGCTTGACTACTTCACTCCCTATTACTAGTTCAGGTGCCGATGAAACCCAATCTTGAAGCAACATTTTGCATTTTGAGTGTGAGAACCGCATCCCGAACATGTTTGCATTGTTGCTTAGGGTAGTCAGAAGACTCTGCATTTTGTTAACGTCTTCACCGAATAGAACTATATCATCGGCATATTCTAGGTCAGTAAGCGGTCCTCCTGGCAGAAGGTCCACCCCTGAAAAATCTAACTAGTATAATGTTAACTCCAAAAGCATGTCTACGACAAAGTTAAACAAGAATGGAGAGAGTTAACATCCCTGCGGACACCATTTGATTGATAAATGATCGTAGCACCAAGCACTAATCCTATAAAAACAACAACTGAAGAAGAAAATGTGCTCACTAGTGATTAGCTTCTGGAGGAAATTCTCGGAGTTCTAGTAAGGAGACGTGACTAGTGGAATTCAACCTAGTCGGGTGTAGACAGTAACTACTAAAGACAAATGGTTGAGGTCGTGCACAATCTGTAGATGGATCAGAGTTAGACATTAACACCGTTGGATGCCAGCCTAGTGGTCCAGAGGTTAGGCGTTTGTGCGCGACACCGAAGGTCTTGCGTTCGATTCCTACGAGGTGTGGCAGTCGTTCGTGCGCACCAGGCTATCCAGTGCTTTCAAGTATCTAATGACGGTCTAGCAATTACTGATTGTTGATTTCGATGTGCAAAAAACACTGATCTCCATAACTCTGGAAAATGTTGTAAACTGTTTGATAGGTGACTTCATAACTACTCTTATATTAATTGTTAGAATCTTCCAATGATAGTTACGACTGCAATCGGTCGTTTTTTCTTGTCACACGTTCATTCTTTGTAAAATTAATTCAATATTGCCACAAGCAGAGATACTTTTGACTCCCAGAGTAAGCATCAACAAAGCGATGTGGCAGTTAGCTTCAGCTAAAAATAAGTCACAAACAGACCGAATTTGGCATTCTAGATTCTACTACTATACACTATCTATCTCTGTTAATAGATCATGATGTTTTTTTATCAAGTTAGATCAATAAAACAATCATTAGGCGGTATTTTTGTATTTCTCTATATATTGGAGGCATCTTCAAAGAGGGCTTTTACTGTTTTTATACAAAGTTTAGACAAAAAATGATTTTGAAAATAGTTTCAATTGTGCTTAGGAATTTATTCTGTGTGAGGTGAATTACTATAAACAAGCTTTCTTTCATGTGTGAAAAAAAGTTTAAGAATTTACTCATATCTATCTGAAATTTATAAACCTCATATTTTTAAGCAGAACAAAGAAAACTAAGGTCATGAATAAACAACTCAGCTGAAACGAATCATCATCAACAGCAACGAAGCACTTCGTACGTACGTGTAAGTACAGCAGTTCATGTTGCCATTCCACATCATGAGCACAGAGATGTAATCGTCAATTCGAATCCCATAGAAGTAGAGGTAGTTAAGGTATTAGCAGTAATCAGAGAGATTAGGGTTCGATGATATTATTCAAGAAGTAGAATCTACTGAAATAAACTTAAAAAAAAAAGATAAAGTGATGAGGAATGTAGAAGTTTGAGATTTGAGAGAACACAAAGGAAGTATGCACCTGCGCCATTGCGAACGGTTTTGAACCATGGCATTGAAGATCTCTATCCACCAGTTACTTTCGTCTCGCGAACCTCAACCAGGTAGTCTACATCTACCAACATGACTCAGTCCACTTGTCAGTGATTTTGTAGATTTCTGCTATGTTTTGGTCTGGCCGCTCAGCTGAAAGTAATAAAACTCATTCACTTGTTCAGAAATTATCAGAAGGGGTATCGGTCTCATGACTTCCGAAGGAACTCGGCTTGCATCATAACTCTTCTGTAGGAAGACCGAACTCCCAGAGCAAAGTTAAAATGGTTAGAAATAAGTTTTAGGTTTGTGTTTTTTAGTGAGTTAGTTTTCTACGAGATGGGGTTGCCAACCTCATGCTCAACCCTCCTCCTTTATCCGGGCTTGGGACTGGCAGTATCCTCGAAGGGTCTACGGGCGGAGTTCTACGTTGCTGTTAACTGACTGATTGATTTTTTCCAATTTAGTATCGGTCACAGAATTGATGTTCACTTCATGACTCAAACCCAATACCATGTGCATATGACGTAATAGTAATATCAAGTCAATTAGCATAAAATTTAAATCTATGCAAATAGAGACTAATCAATTACAATCCTAAATATCAATGGAAAGATTCAAATAACCACAATGCAACTCGAGAACTTTTCATAAGAATGTTGCGATTATTTTTGTAATTAAATACATACTACTTAATTCAAAACATTGGTTCCCTTTGATAAATTTGAATAGAGAAATGAGAAGACATATTTTGTGAGATAGTACCATTTCGTGCTTTCTCGTCAGTCACATACAAGCAACATGTTTTTCGTGTAAATACAGTTTTGAAGATACGGTCGAAATTTCTTATTTAGCATGACATTCACTCACTAGAACCATGGTAAACAAAGGTCAACATACAGTTGTTTTTGAACACATAAAGTTGAATTTTTCCGACCAATCAAGATAGCTTCGAGTAGTTTGAGTGTGTGTGGGTTTTGATGACATGTTACAACTCTAAAGGCTAATTTTTGGATCAATTTGATGACCACTCATCATCAGATGTTTTGCAGTGGACGAGGCTGGGTTTCTTGATCGATCTTGAGATGATGGGCTAGGTTGATGAATCATGGATTTGATTAGCCATTTTGGAATATGTTCCCCTATCCTGTCCTCCAATCGGCGATCTGTCCTACCCAAGTAACCTCCTCCGCAGTTACATTTGAATTGGTAAATACATTGGGATTTGGACTGAATCGGTCTTGGAGACTTGATTGGGTTAACTGAGATCGACTGAGTTGTTGTGATAAACCTCAGATTAGCTGCATTGAAAGTCTTTTTTATTGCAGCTGCAGTCTGTTTGGTTGTAATTTTCATGCAATGATCACCCTTGAAAGGTAACTGTAGGTACACTGGTTTCTTGGGCACATCAGTTGCTATCAGCTTCGTCGTAGTTGTGTTCTGATGACCGATAAACGTTTCGGGATATCCTTTTGATTTAAGTGTCTCAGTAATAAGCTTGAATTCGTCGTCCAGTGTATCAACAGTGCAGATTCTGCTTGCTCAAGCGAATAAAGTCTTGACAACAGAACGTTTATATTGTATGGGGCAGAAACTAGTGACTGACGAGAAAACTCGAAATGGTACTATCTCACAAAATATGTCTTCTCATTTCTCTATTCAAATTTATTCATCAATCAAAAAACCTCAATTTGAATCCTACAATCTATGCTTACAAACTGTTTGATTACTGAGCATCACATTGATCATCTATCTCCCCCGATTGTCAAGTCATTCAAAAATGAACACTTGAATTCATTCAGTGTTCAATAATATTATTATTCGATTTGTTCATTCGATTTGCACACATCAACAATTATTCACATGTTGACAAAATACCAATTTTAACAAATTGAAATAATTTTTTTTCTAAATGTATATTTAACAACACAAAGAATTAAATGTCTCCTGTTACTATCGTTATAAATTTGTTTTAACTGACATGCACAGACTAAGCTGTCAATATGAAATGGTAGTTTTTACATGCACGCATGCATGCATGTTAAAACTAATTAACTATCAGCTCATATGACTTGACAAACTGTTTTTTTTTGATGCTGACTTCACAAATTACAAACGAAATAAATCTTTATTGTTGTTATCATGATGAACAACGAAAGCATATGCATACATACATACATGTATATACATGAACAAACAGACAATTTTATTGATTCGTGGGATTCATGAAAAGCTCTTTTCATGAATACCGTTTTTTTATTATTATTTTGTTCGTTTGTCATTGTTCAATAGTCAAGAATTTCTAACAATTATTTATTACTACTCTTACTATAAAAATTCATTTTAGTCATTGATAATTAAACTTGACGATTGAATTGTACGAGATTAAGAAACATTTTGATTAATCACTACTGATAATGATAAAATCATTGATTTCTGATCAATTTTGGACGAAATTATTTGTTGTGTTAAATACTTGTTTCGTGGTAAGTTTGTTTTAAAAAAATTTTAATTTTGGTGTTGGAATTATGAATCAATCGTTGTTAGACCAAGATTAGAAGAAACTTGTAAGCTACGGATGGCTGGCTATTTTGTCCTGATATGGGTGGGATACATCATCAGTTGGCATTAACGATTCGAATCCAGTTTCAATAGATGAAATATTGAAAGTACATCAGTTGAGATGGTTGAGATATGTGTTACGTATGCCTAACCACCGACTGCCTCGTCGAGCTATGTATTGCCATATGGGAGGGAATAGATCGGAAGAAAGTTGAGGGAGGCCAAACCAAAACATGACAGAAATCCATGAAGTCACTGACCAGTGAACGAAGTCATGTCAGTAAGTGTCGACTACCAGGTTGGGGTCTGCGAGATGGTAGTAATCGATCTTAAGAGATTTTGAATAACATGGCGCAGGTGAATCCACTTTGTTTGTTCTCTCAAATCCTAAACTTCTGAATTCCTCATCTTTTTCTTTTTAAGTTTATTTCATTAGATTCTACTTCTTGAGTAATACCGTCAAACCCTAATCTCTCTGATTACTACTGATATATCAACTACCTCTACTTCTATAGGATTTGTATTGACGATTACATCTCCGTGCTCATGATGTGGTATGGCAACATGAACTGATGTATGTACGTATGTACGAAGTTCTAGATTGCTGTTGATTGATTGGTTGATTGATTCAAACCAAAGACCTTCGGTCTTGCACGCGTAGGCCTAACTTCTATGGACCAATGAGCCAGAATCCAACAGTGTTATTGTCTAACGCGGATCTAGTGTTTTTTTCGAGGTTTCTAATGTTGATCTAACAATGATTGATTCATGATTTTAATTAGGTAAATAAATTAACGCGCACTGTTACATAACTTTTATGTAATTTTCAGTCGAACAATACCAGTTATATTTAAAGGTGCAGTACTTTTAGGATGTTATATATATGTTTAAACGCATAAACATTTGTACAAGTGGGAAGTGAATTATTTATGCAGCACACAAATCAATGTATATTTTCGATGGTCTGCTATACTTTCCAGTTGCCTAAATCAAAGTAGCTGATTTCATTGAAGAGATCGATCCTCAAACTAAAAGGTCTAGTCCACAAGACAGTGCAGCAAAGTTAGGAGATGCAATCTCATGATAGGCAGTGATTAACAATAAGTTTAATAAGCCATTCGTTCTATCAGTATCATGGATTGTGTTGTTGGAGATGCATTATGATCATCGTTGGGTTCATCATTTTTTGTGGAAGAGGTGACTGCGTTTAGTTCTACATTGAAACTCACCACTTTGTGGATGCGTCAGACCCTGATGTAAGGCTCAGTATTTTAGCGGCGTTCGAGTATACTGTGAAATAAATCTCCCCGTCATTTTCCTTATATCATATTCAGGCAAATTCCGTTTGCACAATGGCCGTAATTAGAAGCCAAATACGGATTCGGTTGGTTGAGTTTATTTCAAGTAGTTATTCATGAAGACAGACAAGAGAACACTAAGCGCTAAAGCAAAGCGAAGCGAAGTGAAGATGGCCAGTGAGCCAGTTCTATGGAAATGAAGCCTGAATAAGTAATTCATAGTCAGAGAGAAATAAGCCAGATATTCAAAAAACCAACAAAGCAGTTCACATACAGAATTGAATAAAAACAACCAAGATAAAAGAGAATAGTCAGCATAGTCGGAAGACGTGTTATTTTTTAATAACTGGGTTAAATTGTCTGAAGGCTTAGGACAGTAAACCCTAAGTCTTGACATAAAAGTACATACACACACTATAATTCTGCGTGCACCAATGAGATATGGAATAAGGGTTTTCCAATTCCCCTTAGTTGGATTCTCTTTTTGATATGCTCGCCAATTGATATGTTTCGATGCAATTATGAGTTCACCTAATTCGGTAAACGAAACGAAGGTCAACAATACAATGATATGATAGGTTAGTCTAATCAGATTGTCCTAGGGAATATATTCTACAAGCACGCAGAAAATACGAGGTCGACAAGCTTATTTATACAATCGTAGCAGCGTCCTTCGGCGAGTCACAAAAATAGCGTACTGAAATAATCCATCAACCAATGACAGACAAGGATTTTCCGGCTGGGAAATGCAGTCTCAAGGGTTACTTGGCGCCTTATGCGCGAAAACATAAAAAATCGAAATTTTAACAATAAATTACAAAATTAGGTCATTTCCAAATGATTTCTGGGGATTTAACGTCCGTAACACCAGGCATTAGTTTTCCATCTTCACACTTTCCCACAACAACATCCATGTGTACTGAGAAAACAGTGACCAGAACCGTAAAAATGTAACTGTATTTCAATTTTTCAGCAGACAAATTTTTAAAATTGAGTTTATTTTTATTATAATCAATTAATTGCAATACGGGATTGCGAAGATTGTTAAGTTACACATTTTTGAAACCGTGAATCGATCAATGTTAGATCAGCATTAGAAACCTGGAAGCACTGGACCAACGTTTCGTCCTTCTATGTGACTCATCAGCAGTACGCATCCACGACTCCTGTACCCCACAGGATTCAAGCCCAGGACCTTCGGTATTATGCGCGAACGCCTAACCTATGGACCACTGAAGCGGTAGCCAGCTGTGGTAATGTCCAACTTCGACCAATTTACGGAGTTGCGCAACCTCATACACTGTCTTAGGTAGTTACTGTCTACACCCGAACAGGTTGAACTTCACTGGTCACGACTTCCTACTAGTAGAACTCGGAGAAGATTCCTCACGAAGCTATTCAGGAATCGTGGATGCGCACTGCTGATGAGTCACACAGAAGGACGAAACGTCCGTCCAATGCTTCCAGCTTTCTTCTAATGATGGTTTAATATTGATCAATTCATGGTTTTAAAAAATGTGTAAATTAATTATTACTTGTTTAAGTTGTTGTAAGTTCTTCCTTCACCTGTTTTGTTTCCTGTCTTTTTCAAAAACACCACACCGAAACCAAATCAATATTCAATCAAGATATTCGGTATCATTCTATTTGGATTGGGTATTAAATCCACTGGATTGCTACAGAAATATCCTATCATCCTCTATGGAACAACACCGATCATATGTCCAATTGCAATCTTTTTAGGATGTTTAATTTTAACCGGTACAGTTATTGGATATATTGGTTTATGGAAACCGAAACAATTTATTGCCATTGCGGTAAGTCAGTGAGAGAGAGAGGTGGCCAATGATGTTGTTTGTTTTTAGCATATTGTCTGTTTAAGTTTAGCGGTGATTATAGAAATTGCCATAGCTGCAGTAACAATTGCATCAAGCGAGAAAGTTAGTTTTTTGTTTTTTTTGTAAATATTATGTTTAGTTTCATTCAAATGTCAATAAATCATTGTTAGAAGCTACGAGAAAGTTTTATTCAAATGAACACATTGAAAAAGAAATGGATCGATTACAAAATCAGGTAAGTTGGGGTTGTTTTTTATTTCGTTTGCTAATTTTTACTATTTGGCATATGGGTTCTCGTGCAAGAATACGGTGTGACCTATGATCAGTTAGTTGTGAAAGTAAATGTTTCATTGTGTTCGTTCCTTTCCTCCACGCACAACCTCTTCAAGAAGATTTGGGATGAGGAACAAGTACCATCAGATTGGAAAGAAGGATACCTGATCAAAATACCAAAGAAAGGTGATATCAGCAAGTGTGAGAACTACAGGGGCATCACTCTTCTTTCGATACCAGGCAAAGTCTTCAACAAGGTATTGTTAAACAGAATGAAGGACTTCGTAGACGCCCAACTTCGAGATCAACAGGCCGGATTTCGTAAGGATCGATCATGTACTGACCAAATTGCTACATTACGGATCATTGTGGAACAATCAATTGAATGGAACTCACCACTCTACATCAACTTCATCGACTACGAGAAAGCATTTGATAGCGTGGATAGGAAAACACTGTGGAAGCTTCTTCGACACTACGGTGTGCCTGAGAAAATAGTCAACATCATACGGAATTCTTATGATGGATTCAACTGCAAAATCGTACACGGAGGTCAGCTGACAGACTCTTTTGAGGTGAAGACCGGTGTGAGGCAAGGTTGCTTACTCTCACCCTTTCTCTTTCTCCTGGTCATCGACTGGATTACGAAGACATCAACATCTTGAGGGAAGTACGGTATTTACTGGACAGCTAGGACGCAGCTGGACGATCTGGACTTCGCAGATGACCTGGCTCTTGTATCGCACATGCAACAACAAATGCAAGAGAAGACGACCAGTTTAGCAGCACTAGGTCTCAACATACATAAAGGAAGAAGCAACATTCTCCGATGCAACACAACACGCACCTGTAGTGTGCCAATTATTGCGTGTTCTTAAGCTCGGTTTATAAATCAGAAGATGAACTCCAAGTATCGTATACGTTTATTCGAGGCACACCACAAAGCGAAGCGGAGAAGCGAATTGGAGAAGGCTAAGAGCCAACTCTTTGGATTACAATGCGAGCGAGTGGACGAAGCGAATTGGAGAAGGCTAAGAGCCAACTCAAAGAGATAGAACATGACTAAGAATATATAGTCAGACAATAATAAGACAGACACATGACAAGCGAAATAGGTATGCACACACATGAATAAAAGCGACGAATGATTGACAAGGTCAAATGCAAGCGATACAAATCATGTGAGTTCATGGGAAAATTAAGAGACTAACATTAAAGCGAAAAGGATGAGTAAGTGCGTAAGCGTAAGCAATGCTCAGTCGTACAAGCTCATACAAAGCAGATAATAAAAAATAACAATGGTACATATGAGTTGTTGCTATACAAATGGCTTGGTTAAATAAATTAATCGAAAGGGCTTAACCAAGTTAGATGTAAGTGAACTGGAATATATGTGGAGGCACTACACACCAACCAAATCACTCTTGATGGAGATGACTTGGAGGACGTTAACACGTTTACATATCTGGGCAGCATCATCGACGAGAAAGGTGGATCCGATGCAGATGTGAGGGCGCGGATTGGAAAAGCAAGGGCTGCATTTCTACAAATGAAAAATATCTGGAACTCCAAACAACTTTCAACCAATACCAAAATCAGGATTTTCAATACAAATGTCAAGACAATTCTACTGTATGGAGCGGAAACATGGAGAACTACGAAAGCCATCATTCAGAAGATACAAGTGTTTATTAACAGTTGTCTACGCAAAATACTTCGGATTCGTTGGCCAGACACCATTAGGAACAACCTACTATGGGAGAGAACAAGTCAGATTCCAGTGGAGGAGGAAATGAGGAAGAAGCGTTAGAAGTGGATAGGACACACACTATGAAAAGCACCTAACCGCGTCACGAGACAAGCCCTCATATGGAAACCTCAAGGCAAAAGGAAAAGAGGAAGGCCAAGGAACACATTAAGCCGAGAAATGGAGAAAGATATTAGAGGAATGAACAAGCATTGGACAGAACTGGAGAGGGAAGCGCAGGACAGAGTTGGTTGGAGAAAACTGGTGGGCGGCCTATGCTTTCCATTGGGGGTAACAGGCGTAAGTAAGTAAGTAAGTTTCCTCCCCGCAGTTCATGTCGTGCCATAATGTCGTCGTATATATTGTGCTGATCATTCTAAGCTTGCTCGATGTGTTTATGTCTCCCATTGAAATGGTCAAGTCTTTGGTAACCCATTCTTTCTTTGAGCGGAAGCATGGTTTAATGATACTGTATTCATGGGATTCCCATTGTATAGGTGATTTTTGTGTTTCTTAGGATAGCATCAGTACAACTCTTTGTGTATGTCATACATATTCTCCTTGATAACTGGAGTACAACAACATCTCTCCTGAAGCTAGTCATTTCTGTTAAGTCTGTGTCTAAAGCGTTTCACTGAGTCTAAGTATAACCAGGTTGTATCTTTTCATTTCTTCAGCAACTTAAATGTTCTTAAATGTACCTAAAAGAATATGGCATCGTCCTCGTAACCCACGAAGAAACTCGGCTTCCATCGTGAGGTGTGATAACCCTTGTTAATGAAGACCTTTTAACGCCCAGGGAAGAGTTTAAATGGTTTGAATAATTTTTTCTAGTTGGCATTTTGTTAGTGAGTTAGTATTCTACAGGGTGGAGACGCTAACCAGATGCCCAACCCTTTTTTCTTTATCTGGACTTGGAACTGTCAGTAACCCTAGACGGACTCAAGGCCTACTTACTTACTTACTTAATTACGCCTGTTACCCGAAATAGTGCACAGGTCGCTGACGAGTATTCTCAAGAATACTCTGTCCTGATTTTCCGTTTCCTATTCTGCCCTATGTTTGTTCATTCTTCTCATGTCTTTTTCTATTTCTCGGCGTAATGTGTTCCTTGGCCGTCCTCTTTTCTTTTGACATTAAGGGCTTGTCTAGTGACGCAGTCGGGTGCTTTCCTCAATGTGCATCCTATCCACCTTCATGCCTTTGTCCTAATTTCTTCCTCCTCCACTGGAATCTGGTATATTCTCTTCCACAGTCAATTGTTGCCTATGGTGTTTGGCCAACCCATCCGGTATATTTTGTGTAAACAACCGCTCGAGACTACAAAACTCTTTCCTTTTTTTTATTCTCTTCTTGTCATAGTATCGATGTTGTGGAGCTGGTTCCTATTTGGATTATATAAAATTCAATAAAACTGTACCATTCTCTTGTTTACTTGGTGATTTAGTTTATGCACGAGTAAGTGATAGAATTTATTTAATACATAATTCACTGAAATCATATATTTATTGTAGCTTTTTGTAAAATTTATATTTTTTTCTAAGTATATTAACGAATTGCATAAGATTTCATAACCATTTCATTCATTCAGTCGGTCAGTTGCAACGTAGAACTTCGTAAGTATGTACATAAGTTCAAGTTGCCATACCACATTAGCACAGAGACGCAAGTTTCAAATCAAATCCCATAGTGATAAAGATAGTAGACGTATTAATGGTAATGAAGAAGACTAGGGTTTGAAGATATTATTCAAGAAGTATAATTCAGTGAGATAAGATTAGAAAGACAAAAGTAGAGGTGCTGACTAATCCAAAAGATTAGGATTTGAGAGAGCAAAACGAATGGATGCACTTGCGCCATTGCAAGCGATTTTGAGCCATGTCGTTCAAGGTCTTTAACCACTGGTGACTATCATCTCGCGGACCCCAACCAGGTAGTCTACACAGACCAACATGACCCAGTCCACTTGTCAGTGACTTCATGGATTTCTGCCAAATTTTGGTCTGGCCGCCCCTAACTTTCTTCCAATCTACTCCTACACCAGAAAACATCACTCATTGAGGCAGTCCGCGGTTGGGCATACGTAACACATATCCCAACCACCTCAACTGATGAAGTTTCACCACTTCATCTATTGATCTGCCATCCTTACCTAGTACTCGTTTCCTAACGACAGTATTGCTTACTCGGTTGTCCCACGATATACGAGCAATGCTTCTTAGACATCTATGATCAAATACTAGTAACCTACACTCGTCCTTTAGTCAGCGAACGGATATCTCGCCTGCGCCATAAGTGACGCAGGTGGGCAAAAGCCAATCGAGCTCTCTGTATCCGTGCTGAGATTTCGTCAGTCACCAGGCCATCAGTGCTGATGAGACTCCCCAGATGAGTGAAGTGATCAACACGCTATACTACTTCACACCCTATCACTAGTTCAGGTGCCGATGCAACCCAATCTTGAAGCAACATTTTGCATTTTGAGGGTGAGAACCGCATCCCGAACATGCTTGCACTGTTGCTTAGGGTGGTCAGAATACTCTGCATTTTGTCAGCGTATTCATTATGATTTGTCATAAAGCTTGGAGCCCTTCTAAGGTTACTGCCAGTCCCAAGCTCGGATAAAGGAAGAGGGTTGGGCAGAAGGTGTTGAAAAACCCATCCTGTAAAAATTCAACTCGTTTAAATACGCTGGTCGTCGGCGTATACTCTATTTTATGTAACAGGTGTAAGTAAGTAATATTGAAATATTAACCTTGGTATTAAGAGGTATCTGAATGTTTATACATCACACAACTTATTGAATTTGTGAATAGGTTGCGATTACCATCGTCCATGAGCATAAAGCGAAGTAGGCAATTATCTAAGGAGGCCACTCCTTGAGCCTTTAACCCGTAGGTCTGATGTACAATACATTGATTGAAGTAATGTCAGGCGATATAGTCTTATAGACACTGGTGACCAACAAAAGTAGAAGTGGAGTCTAGAAATGTACAACAATCAAACTTCTTACCCTTTTTTCAAGCTGAATATCATACTACAATGCAGGATAATAGAAATATCCAAAGTACTACATTTTCATATGTAAGCAAACGGATATCGATCAACATACTATTATTGGTTTTCAACACAATTATTGGAACAAAGGTGCACCTAAATATTTATACTCCACACGAGGTAATAAATTTGAGGGTTGGCTGAGATACTGACTAATACACTTACCGAATTAGGTCATTTTCGAGAGGCTGATACGTCTACTCCACTAAAACAACGAAGTAACGTTACGAGACACACTACCATGGTGGACAGTGATCAACAACAGTAAGTTTATATACCATCTGTCCCATCAGTATCTGCTACAGCCCATGAACACCATCGATTTGGAGTTAGGGTTTTCCATCGCCCCTTGATGTAAACTTCACACCTACCAACTTAGTCTCAACTCTGACAGGACATTCGATTTTCGTTCTGTTCATTCGGTAAACAACACCCTCTTGTTAAGAAAGTAATGAATAGTCTTTCTTTTCGTTGGCTTCACACGTATGACCATGCGGCAAGATTTAGAGAGGCAGACCGCAGTTTTACCACATTCAGGAGCACTAGAGCATTTGGGAGTGCTTAAGCTATTAGTAACGCTTATGTTCAGTTTATATTTAATTGTAATTTTGTTGTATTCAGTCAGTTGAGGTGGATGGGACATGTGTTACGTATGCCTAACCACCGACTGCTGCGACGAGCTATGTTTTATGGTGTAGGAGCATGTTGGAAGAAAGCTAGGGGTGGCCAGACCAAAGCATGGCAAAATCCATTAAGTCACTAACAAGTGGATTGAGTCATGTTGGTAGATGTAGACTACCTGATTGGGGTCCGCGAGATGAGAGTCAGCAATGGTTAGAGACCTTGAACGACATGGCTCAAAATCGTTTGCAATAGCGCCGGTGCATTTATTCTTTGTGTTCTCTCAAATTACAATCTTCTAAATTCCTCATCACCTCTATCTTTCTCTTACTAATTCTAATTCACTGAATTATACTTCTTGAATAATATCTACTACGATCCCTAATATTCTCCATTACTGCGAATACTTCTACTACTGCTACCACTATGGGATTTGAACTGACAATTATATCTTTGTGCTAATGTGGTATGGCAACCTGGATAACTGACTGACCGACTGACTAACTGATATCAGTGAAATTCATAAAAATGTATCGTTTAATAATCTACCTACCGTAAAATGAGATTTTTTTATGACAATCAATATGAGTTGTGTTAGTAAATTCAAATTTACTGGTATCAATAATATAAATAACAAAAAAAATCAATATTATGACGCTAAACTAATCGTCATAAAATCGATGTATACGATGTATATTTATGAGTAATAATAATAATGTTTTCTAAAAATTATAATTACGGAATTCATGTTCATGTACAGGCACAATCAGTTTGATATAGACAGAAATGTTTAATGCAGAGAGAGGATAGATTTATTACATGTTATTTTCAATTAGCAGTTGTGGAGATTAGTGTTTTTACACATTTGAAATCATCACAATGAGAAACCTGGAAGCACTGGACGACCGTTTCGTCCTTGTACAGAATTCATCAACAGTGCGCATCCACGACTCCTGTACCTCGCAGGATTCGAACCCGGCGCCTTTGGTATTGTGTGCGAACGCCTAATTATTGGACCACTGAGTCGGCATCTAACGGTCTTAATGTCTAACTCTGATTGATCTAGGGATTTTGCACGACCTCACCCATTTGTCTTCGGTGGTTACTGCCTACACTCGACACGGTTGAACTCCACTGGTCACGTCTTCTCACTAGAACTCCGAGAATTTCCTCACGAAGCTAGTCACTACCAGTGAGCACATTTTACGATATTTTCAATTAGAGTTATGGAGATTAGTGTTTTTACACACTTGAAATCAACAATCAATCATTGTTAGACCACCATTAAAAACTTGAAAGCATTGTTTTGAAGTGTTCTACTTCGGAAATTGTTTAAGCAGTACATTTTTCATATAAACAATATGTCAGTTGAAAACTATTAATACTTTATAACTAGACATCCTGTTGCTGCTTTATGAACAGTGTATTTAGTTTGGCCCCCAGGTGCCACAACGTATTGGTTATAATCATCTACAGACTAGAGAAAATTAGAAACAGAAACAGACACAGAGAGATCACAGAACAACAAAATCAATAATTATTACGTTAAATCAGACACGTCTGTCAAGGTCACCATGATTCAGGAGTAAGATTATTTAATGATTTATTATTCGGGTTAGATATTAGTGAAATTAGTTTAATTTACAAAGGACAGTGTTAGTGAGCGAGTTTAATTAGGATAGTTAGTAATGAGATTTGCTTACAGCTGTAGGCCTAGTTAAGACATTTTCTGAGGTGGAATAATAGGCATTGATTCTAACGAATAAAGGATGCTAATGATCTTAATGTCGGTCAGTTACAACGTAGGAACTTCATACATGAATACATATATTCAGGTTGCCATACCGCATCAGCACAGAGACGCAACTGTCAGTTCAAATCCAATAGTGGTGGAGATAGTATTAGGGATCGAAGATATGATTCAAGAAGTATAATTCAGTGAGATAAATTTAGAAAGAGAAAGACAGAGGTGATGAGGAATTCAGAAGGTTACAATTTGAAAGAACACAACGAGTGGATGCACTTGAGCCATCGCAAACGATTATGAGCTATGTTGTTCAAGATCTCTAACCATCTGTGACTTTCGTTTCGTGAACTCCAACCAGGTAGTTTGTATCTGCCAACATGACTCAGTCCACTTGTCATTGACATCATGGATTTGTGCCATGTTTTGTTCTGGCCTCCCCTAGCTTCCTTCCAACCTACTACTACACCACAAGACATCGCTCATCCTGGCAGTCGGTTGTTTGACATGTGTAAACATATACAAGTAAGGCTTCAAATACATCTATAATCGAATATTAATAACCTGAAAATATATTCTACTCTAAATGGCCACGTTTCGCATCCATATAGTAGGAAAGAGTAAACTGCTGAAAAGTACACTCTTCCTTTGGTTAGTAAACCGATATCTCGCTTACGCCGTAAGTAACGCAGGTTGGCAAACGCCAATGTTATGGATAGATTGCGATACATTTACTGGTAAAGTAATTCATATAAAGAGAAGATTTTTTGATGAGATTTTATCACTACTGACAAAGTGTTATGGAAACTATAAATGGCAGTTTCTGCACATCGAATAGCCTATTAAGTTGAAATTGCCACCTACATAAACGGCCCAGTTCAAGTTTATTACCTCTGGATTTACAATAATTTTCTAGGATACGTACTGATAATCGTCTCCCAACAGATTCTAGCATTGACTTATTCCTTTACGCGAACACTACTAACAACAAATGTGCAGTATTCTAGACATGGTCAGTAACATAATTTGTACATGCAATTATGTATATTCCTTGTCATAGAGATTACGATTTACGCAACACAGAAGACATTGAGACTTGGAGATCTGTATAGATATCTCTTCTCAGAAGGATCAATGACAGGAGTACTTCAGTCATAAGTCTACCGATGTATGAAATTTCGATAACATTTTATCATTTATGATTAGAGTTAGGTTGATTGAAGGATCGTCAAAACAGATCGATCAACATTTCGCAGTATTTAGCTCCAACATTCATTTTCAGCATCACTGGACCGCTTGATTGAGCTTCAAAGTGATGCAGTTCTGTAGATTGTTCAGCTGATGAGGATAGGATGAGTACAATACTTTAAGAGCATATGAAAATAGAAGATGCTTAACTGCATAGAAGCAATCACAAATATCATTTATGGAGGATAAGATAAGCAAGGCAGCTAATACACTCATAGATCTGAAGCGTGTTATAATATATGAGGTTTTCCCAAAAATCAGGATAAGTATCGACCTTCAGAGAGAGAGAAAGAGAGAAGTAGTGATATATCATATCGCATACATTCACAGAGAATGGATGTAAATCTGTCTACCTCACGAATGTTTGGGATCTTAAGGGAGTTAACTCATCATAGTCATCATCATCAACAGCAATGTAGAACTTTGCATGTAAGTACAGCAATTCAAGTTACCATACCACATTAGCACTCAGAGATGCAATTGTCAATTCAAGTTCCATAGTAGTAGAGGTGGTAAAAGTAATAGAAGTAATCGGAGAGATTAGGGTTTGAAGATGTTATTCAATAAGAATAATTCAGTGAGGTAAATTTAGAAAGAGAAAGATGAGAATACCGATATTAGTGAAGCGGTCAACACACCCGAGTACTTCACTCCCTATCACTAGTTCAAGTACCAATGCGAACCAATCCTGAAGCAACATTTTGCATTTCGACGGGGAAAACCGTATCCCGAACATGCTTGCATTGTTGCTCAGGGTGGTCAGAAGACACTGCATTTTGTCAGCGTCTTCACCGAATACAACTATATCATCGGCATATTCTAGGTCAGTAAGCGATCCTCCTGCTAGAAGGTCCACCCCTGAAAAATTTAACGAGTATAATACTAACTCCAAAAGCATGTCTACGACAAAGTTAAACAAGAATGGAGAGAGTGGACATCCCTGACTGACACCACTTGAAGTAAAAGGAGTTAACTAGCTTTACTCATTGCTAGATAAGTGAAAAAATAAAGAATTCACGGAGTTAATAGTTTCATACTAGTTATATCTCTAAATTATTGAGAATATAACAATTCCTGTATTAAATAAAGCGTAAAGACTAACAGTGTTATTGAAAAAGAAATGAAGTGTCAATCCAGTGAAGAAAATTCTCTTTTCGACGATCTCCTCTATCCACTAGTTATTCTGATGAGCTTAAATAGTCATTCAGTAATCATATTACCAAATAAAATTCATGCTTTTCCAATCGAGAATTTACAATTTTCATTAGGTTGACATGTTTCATGAGTGTAATCCGAGATTACTTGCTTACACCCGTTATTCCCGATGAGCATAGGTCGCCGACCAGTATTTCCAATCTACTGTCTTGGGACATCTTTTCCAGTTCAACCCAATAGCCGTCCATTCTTCCCATGTTTGTTTCCATTTCTTGATGTAATGTGTTTTTTGATCTTGCCCTCTTTCCTTTGGCCTTCAAGGGCTTGCTTCGTGAGCCAGTTGGGTGATTTCCACAATTTAAGTTCTATCCACCTCCAGAGCTTTGTCCTAAGTTGTTCCTCAGCTGGAAGTGGGCTTGTCCTTTCTCACAGAAGGTTTTTACAGATGGTATCTGGTCAATAGATCCGTAGTATCTTGCTCCTGGAACCCTTCTAATGTTACTGCCGCTCCTAAGCCCGGATAAAGCAGGAGGGTCGGTCATGGTGTTAGCGATTTCATTCCGTAAAAAAAGCAACTCATTAAAAAAAACGCTAACTAGCACAGCTGTAATAATAACATTCAATGTCAATTAAATTATCATTAAATATTTAGTAAAAAAAAATTTGACAAGAATTCTTTCTTTTGATATTCATGACTAGCGTTAATCAATCATTCATGTGCAAGATATTTTCACAGTCTTGACAAGATCGATTATCAGACTACTACTTGTGATTACATTATTAACCCACATTATATGACATTGATTTGTTTGGATTCTATGTAGAAAATCAGTTTTTTCTCAAGATTTCTAATATACTATTCTAAGTTTCAAATAATCAGTAGTGTAAATTCAAAGATTTTCACTGATTTTCACAAAATACTTACTTAACAATGTAAAATACATATATATATATATTAGGGTTGTGAAGATTTTTGAGTTACTCTATGGACATATGATCAACCTTAGATTACCATTAGAAACTTGGAAGCACTGGACGGCCGTTTCGTCCTGGTATGGGACTAATCAACGAGTTACAGAACTTATGGATGCTCATTGAAGATGCTTGACATACCTGAACGATACGGCAGTCCTATGCTTACAAGTTTCTAATGATGGTCTAACGTTGATCGACTGATGATTTCAAAGTTATGCAACAATTCCCTCAACACTACAATCCATATTATCATGTGATGATGATGATGATGATGATGTGGTGATTTGCTCCGTGAGGAATTTTCTTCAAGTTCTATTGAGAAGTCGTGATTACTGGAGTTCAATCCTGTTCAGGTGCGAAGTAGTGCTGACCAAAGGCAGTGAGTGGATGAGGTTGCGCAAAATCCTTATATGCCGGCTCATCGGTGCAGAGCTTAAGCGCTCGTACGTAAGATCGGAGATCCTGAGTTCGAATCTGTTAGGATATTCACCAAATATCCTAAGAGAATTATTTTTGGAAATCTAATTCTATTGGTCACTTCCTACTGGTAAATATTATGGTCGCCCTAGCTATCAATGTCATATATTTCAATGTTATTTTCCATTGGTCGTTCTGACTATCAATGTCACTTCAAATGTTGTTTCCTATTGGTCGTCCTAAATGTCAATGTCACAGACTTCAATGTTGTTTCCTATTCGACCTAACAGTGTAAATAAATGGGCATTATCTGTAACGTTTTATGACCCAGACCCGGATCCCTAGTCCGGGATCCTTGCCTTCTTCATACTTTCTGGATGCTTGTAGATTACATGTTCTACTTCACATAAAGTCTTCTTCTTTTACTCAATGGGGGTTCGGGACGCTCGGATTAGAGTAGCATGTCGTGTCGCCAGATCCTCGCTCTCGTTTTTCGACCAAGGTAAACTCGTAATAGTTCAAGTGTATCAAACGACATGTTTACATAGAATGCGTAACAGAATCCTACCAGTAGCAGGAGTTGAAGGATGTGCACTACTGATGAATCTAATAGCAGGACAGAATGACACTTCAGTGCTTCCAGGTTTCTGATAGCGCGGTCTAACAATTTCAATGCAAATAACGATCTGCATAACTCCATAATGAAACTCCATAATGGGAATCCTTGTTTGTTAGTTTACAATACCAATGACTAGTTCACTTTCTCGATACTATTTCACATATACATAATTCTTTTTACAGCTCATCATTTTCATGTTTTCTTTTTTAACATTTCATCTCAGGGTTGTACGGAATCAATCGATATTTATGTCCAACATTACATTGTTGCACTGATCTGTTTATGCTTTACATTCGGTTTGATTAAAGCTGTTTACTTGGCTGTCTCGATTGTCTTATTGAAACGCGCCAAACAATTAACGCCATGAGGAACCCGGCGGTAGTCATGACAGTGAAATGGAAGAAGAAGAAGAAGCTCATGTCATTAACATTAAACAAATTTCATTGTTCAATCAAATAATTACACTTGTCATTTGACATTCATCGACATTATTATTATTATTATTATTATTATTATTATTCGACAGATCACTCTTCTTTCAACTTGTCATCAATATTTTAACTGTTTTTCCTGGGTAATTTCCTAACAAGTAACATAATTAGAGACATGAAGAAAAGCATATATATATCTTCTTTTTAAATTGACCGTCGATGTTCCTCGTTTTGATGAACAAAAAATAAAAGTCTATTATACAAACTTATTGTTTATACAGTATGCATTTTGAAAATTAAGCATATCAATATATCTATCATTGAACGAAATTTTTCATTTGTTATAGTTTAGATTTAGAGAAGTGGTCTTACAAAGATCACCATTTTTGTTTATCCTTAGTTTGAGATCCTTTGAACAGTGTGCATCCACGACATCCGCATGTGTGAACTGTAAGAAATAAGCCGTTTGGATTTCACTTCCAATCAGTATCCAACTGTGTAAGGATTTGATTGATCTTGACAAATTTGGTCTCACGTGCTGGTATGGGTATGAGGGTGGTTGTCACTTCCCCGCGGCTCACGCCATGGGAGGGTGTTTCTTGAGGGACCTGAAAAGGAAGGTAGATTAGTGTCGGACTTAGAGAACTGGGAGCATAACCGTAGAGCTCAAGGGATAAATAACTACTTGAAACAGGTCATGCGCGGCCTTTTTATGCGAAGTTGTTAAATTATTAGCTCCGCTCTTGTTTAAAAGCCCTTATTCGGCAGCCCTCACCACCGGAGACGGAAATCTATGAGTTAGGAAGAGGTGTGACATTTGAAGAGTCGATCTTTTCTAACTATTCCTTCCTTGTTAGAATGCAGCATCGCTGTAGATGCTGGTTATCCGAGGGAAACACCTGACTGCTGTCACACCCCTTTACAGTCAGCAATACGATTTCTCCCTCAGACCTTGGGTAGCTGCTTTTAGTCTCATCGTTCTTCAATCGACCTGCCTGGCATGGTAGAACCTTCAGGAACATATGTTCCAGCCAATATAGCCCGGTTGGGCCATCACGATAAGCAGGCCCGACCACCACGTCAAGTTAGCAGCTACGGTTGGGAGCAGCAACTGTGTAAACAAGTTATTAGAATAGTGTGTTCAATATGTTGTTTGTTTTACAAAACTTTTATGCACAGAAATGAAAGGTGGTGCGAATTACATTTCATGAGTATAAAGTGTAATTTAAAATTTTATAACCTTGTTTCATTCCTTGAAATGAACTAAGTGGAGTGCAATAAACATAATAACATTAAATTTTATGACATGATTTTAACAAGACTACTAAATGTACAATAGAATTTTCATTTCATGCTACCCCACAGGCAATTGTCATCACTGGTAGAATGAATCAATACCCAAGATCTACAATGTTCATGATAAAAAAACTGAAAAATCAATATTATGAAAAGAAAAAAAACGATAATATACTTTAAATCGATTACAGTTGATTTATAAGGTTCATATTTACCAGAAAGAACAAACCGAAATTGAGAAAATGGAAGCTACAATTAGAAAGCCAATCATTTAATATGATAATTAACTTTCTAAATATCGAGATTTGAAGATAAGCGAAACTGGTAAGTAAAGCACTTTAGGGACCAGTAATCGACCAGCCCACCGAACTCACCCAACATCGAAGTAGCATCTACGAACATGCCAATCAATGTTTGCACACCTACAATTGAAGAGATCCAAATGGCCATCAGAGAAATCAAGGGTGGCAAATCAGCAGGAATAAACAACATTCCAGCAGAGGCAATGAAAGCAGATGTGGAAGCAACTGCAAAAATATTTCACATTCTCATCAAAAAGATTTGGGAGAGGGAACAAGTACAAACAGGCTGGGAAGAAAGATACCTCATCAAATTATCAAAGAAAGGAAACCATGGCAAGTGTGAGAATTACAGAAGCATCACCCTTCTCTCAACACCAGGAAACTTTTCAACAGAGTGTTTTTAAACAGAATGAAAGACTCTGTAGACCCCTAACTTCAAGAAAAAAGGATCGATCAAGTACCAACCTAATTTCAAAATTACGGATCTCTGCGGAACAGTCAATTGAATGGAACTCACCACTCTACATCAACTTCATCGACTAAGAGAAAGCATTTGATAGCGTGGATAGAACAACAATATTGAGGCTTTTTCGACACTACGGCGCCCCTGAGAAGATAATTAATATCATACGGAATTCTTATGATGGATTAAACTGCGAAATCGTGCACGGAGGTCGGCTGACAAACTCGTTTGAGGTAAAGACCGGTGTCAGGCGAGGTTGCTTACTCTCACCTTTTCTCTTTCTCCTGATGATCGACTGGATTATGAAGACATCAACATCTTGAGAGGAACACGGAATACAGTGGAGAGCTGGGATGTAGCTGGAAGACGTGGACTTCTCACATGATCTATTTCTTGTATCCCATACGCACCAACAAATGCAAGAGAAGACGACCAGTGTAGCAGCAAACCAAAGAACTGAGTACTCCAAGAACTGGAAGAACTTCCAAATGCGACGTATTTTTAGGTGAGTTTGTTTTCTACATGATGAATTCGCCAACCCTATGCTCAAACATCGTTCACCCAGTCTTAGTACAGGCAGTTATCGTAAAAGGGCACCAAAAGGAAGTTAACAGATTTAAGTAAGTAACTAGATATTTTAACTTGGTAGATGTTGTTCTGTGAAGTTCCCCTTTTTCATTCTCAACAACATCAAGAGAATTATATAATTGGAATTTCTTTATGACTGATCAAACAGACTGATTGTCTGTTTGATTGATTGTTGTTTATAACTGTGTAATCCTTGTTTCGTTGTTTGTTGGACTGATTGATTTTTCTTCTCATCTGACCTGTTTCTCTGCAGTTGCTTATGATCAGTCTTTATCGGCTGACAGACAATATCAATTTGTTTATATATATCTAAATGAATAGCCAAATACCACAAACAGATAACTTTATGGTGGCCAATGTGTATCACTAGTTTCGTGACTGTCGGTATCCAACATGTTCTTAGATTTCGTATGCTGCTTGTCCAGACAACCATTACTAAATAGCGCCTGACGGTTTATAAATCAGAAGGTGAATACAAAGTGTTCAATACGTTTATTTGGGACACACCACAAATTGACTAAAAACCACAGGCAAACCGAGCGAAAGGCAAACAAACAAATGAGTAAGTGAATTGGCGAATAAATTAATAAGATTAAAATGTACATATATATGTACATAGAGAAATGGCTAGGTCATTAAAATATTTAAGAGGTTAACATTAAAGCCAGTAGGATGAATATTCACGTATGCGATGAGGAATGTTCAGTCGTATCAGGTCATACACAAACCAGATAATAGTAAAAACCAATGCTACATATAAGTTGTTGCTCTATACAAATGGCTTGGTTAAATAAGTTAGTTATTCGAAAGGCTTAGCACAAATTAAATATGAGCCAACTCAAATGTATGTTGAGGCACTACAACTTCACCCAGCATGAGAAGTATCTCTATCTACAAGATACCAAAAAGTCCACTATGAACATGTAAGTCCAACAAACTGAAAAAAAATCTCTCTGCTACAAATACTATGCAAACGAAAGGCAATAACAACAAAAAGAAGACAATCCAATTCTTTTTGACAAAAGTGAATTTATAAGAAACTTCCACAGATGCTACATAGAATGGATTGACAACTGTAGAGTCAGAGATTAGCTAAGGAGGAAAAAACATTTAGAACAAAGAAAAAAATGACTTCATGGTAATACACCCACATTAAATCGAATTCCAATGCCTAATCACTCTTAGCTTAGATAACTTGGTATTTTGATTAGCCTCATTGTAAGATGTAAATTTTCTTCATCTCATTTGTGACTTATTATTTTGAAATCATGAATCAATCAATGTTTGATAATCATTAGAAACTTGGAAGCACTGGACAGCAGTTTCGTCCTGGTATGGGACTCTTCAGCATTGTGCATTCACGAAAGCAGTTTTACTGTGTTGAAGCGAATGCTGAAGGCAGTTAGTAGAGTTCTCAGTGAATTATTTCAAATTATTGTCAAGATGTTGGTGGATAGACACTGAAAAACCTGCAAACTCCTGTAAAGTATTATCTTCTCATACTGATATTAACAACTCTGCAAGTAGAAGCTTCGTGGCTACTGCCGGTCCCAAACCCGGATAAAGGAGGAGGGTTGGATATGGGGTTGGCGACCCCATTCCGTCAAAAACTAACTTGCCAAGAAAACGCTAACCAGAAAAAATAATTCAAACCATTTTAACTCTGCCCTGGGAGTTGGAGGAAGAATTATGACGTCTCGTGATGAAAGCCGAGTTCCCTCGGAAGTCACGGGACTGATGCCTCTTCTCACAACGAGAGCAACCATTTTCTTAGGTACATGGAACGTTCGTACATTGTGGGAGACTGGAAGACTATTTCAAGTTGCGGCAGAAATGAAAAGATACAACCTCGAGGTGCTTGGAATCAGTGAAACACATTGGACACAAGTAGGACAACTGAGACTAGCTTCAGGGGAACTGCTGTTATACTCTGGTCATGAAGAGGAAAATGCTCCACATACACAAGGAGTTGCACTGATGCTGTCCAAACATACACAAAAGGCACTGATAGGATGGGAATCTCATGGACCGAGGATCATTAAAGCATCCTTCAAAACAAAGAAACAGGACATTACAATGAGCGTATACCAGTGTTATGCACCTACCAATGACTACAATGACGACGTTAAAGATCAGTTCTACGAAAGGCTACAGTCAATCGTCGACAGATACTTACCAAAGGATTTGACGATTCTTGTGGGAGACCTGAATGCCAAGGTTTGAATGGACGACACTGGATATGAAGACATCATGTGACGACATGGACTTGGAGAAAGGAACGAAAACGGTGAGAGATTTGCAAACCTATGTGCCTTCAACAAACTGGTCATCGGTGGCACAATATTCCCACACAAACGCATACTCAAAGCCACATGGATTTCACCGGACCACACTACTCAAAACCAGATTGATCATATCTGTATAAACAAAACGTTCAAAAGGACTACGGAGGATGTGAGAACCAGGAGAGGAGCTGATATAGCTTCAGACCACCACTTGCTGATCACCAAAATGAAACTGAAACTAAAGAAGCACTAGAAAACTGGGCAGACAGCATCACAAAAGTTTAATACAGCCTTTCTTCAGGATACCGTAAAACTCAACGAATTCAAGATAGCCCTCACCAATAAGTTCAAGGCCTTGCAGGAGAACAACAAATGCAAGAGAAGACGACAATTGTCGCAGCAGCCTCATCAGCAGTAGGTCTCAACATACATAAGGGGAAAAGTGTGATTCTACGATACAACCCTCAAGGTCAAAGGAAAAAAGGAAGGCCAAGGAACAGATTACACCGAGAAATAGAGAAAGACATGAGAAGAATGAACAAAACTGGAAAGAACTGGAAAGGGAAGCCCAGGACAGAGTTGGTTGGAGAAAACTGGTGGGCGGCCTATGCTCCATTGGGGGTAACAGGCGTAAGTAAGTAAGTAAGTAAGTACTGATATTAACTATCCCCTACATTCACAGTTTTTTCCTTATATATCTTTCGATAGAACGAGACGTCATTAAACTAGAATATTTGCACTTCAAGCAAAAGTATCAAAAAACTCTACAATAGCTTATTTAGTAAGTACACTTACTATACAATGAACGAACATGTGATCAGAGTTGATGATTGTCATCAATCCGAAAAAAATTCAGATAATTTAATTACTTAAATTCTTAATGTGTATTTAGTATGAAGTGATTGGTTGCAGTTGTAAAAACTTGTTGGAATATTTTGTTGGTGACAATTCAATATTTTATCAAACATTTAACATTGAATAAAACTGTCACTAATAATAATAATAGTAACATTAATAAAACAATTGACAAGATAAAAAATACAGCACAGAATAGAAATGTGAACAGTGATTGTCTACTTAGAAAAAAAAGTTTATAGAAAAGCTAAATAAGTAGGAGAAACAAGAAATAACTAATACGATTTGAAGGAGTGCTAGTGTGGTGCGCGCTACTTATAAGTAGTATATGACGCGAGTGAAAACGTAATGTCTGGCAGCAGAAGATGGGGGAAGATCAAGAAAGGAAGAGTGGGAACACAATGGAATTTGTATGAAACGCATGAACAGTGAAATGTCAGACAATGGATTGATGATGGATTGATATTTTGCAAATTAACGATTTACGATATGGTTTTCCTATTTTACCAATTAACTCTGTAATTCGCGATAACTACAATACGGTTGCCCTCACCTGTGTTCTCCTTCACTACACTAGGGGTATGATAAATTTACGCAGTGGATGCATCGTTCTTGAAGTGCCTGCCAATCATTTGACAGTTGGATGATATGGTGAGTTATTCATACACATCATAAAATGTGAATCTGTCAAAACCGTTCTACTATATGTAGCGGTAACTCGGAGAACTACCGAAGCCATCATCCGAAAGATACAAGTGCTTATTAACATTTGTCCACTAAAAATACTTCGGATTCTCTTGTCAAACACTATTAGCGACAACCTGCTGTGGAAGAGAACTACCCAGATTCCAGCGGAGGAAGAAGTGCTGGAGGTGGGGATAGGACACACATCGAGGATAGCACCCAACTGCATCACAGAGTGTGGCGTCACTTGTAATCCTCAAGGAGAAAGGAAAACTGGGCAACTGAAGAACACATTGCAGCAAGAATCAGAGACAGACATTTGAAGAATGAACTGGAAATAAAGGCCTAGAATCAGCGCACACAAGCAAAAGTCACAAAAGCTCTACAATACCTTATTTAACAAATATACTATGTAAAAATAACAGTCTGTCAGAGTTGACCTATTCAAAGAAACTTGTATTTCCAAAGACATTCAGTCGATTCTAATCTCATTAAAATTGTTTCATTTAATTTCTGATAGTGTTTTTATTACTATTAAATTGCATGTAGGTACATGTTGGCGATTATCGATCAGCTCATTGGTTATAAGAAATTAGGAAAGTTCTTAAAAAATGGATTTTACTGTGAATAACAAAATGCCTTTAAACTTATTGTTAGGATATTCATATCCTAGGAGAATTATCTTTATAAGTCTAATTCTATTGGTCAACCGCTATTGGTTAATTCCTATTGGTCGTCTTAACTATCAATGTCACATACTTCAATGTTGTTTCCTATTCGAGAGTAGTCTATCGTGTCACTGGATCATTGTCTCGCTCTCGTCTACTGAATAACTTACTTACTTACTTACGCCTGTTACCCCCGATGGAGCATAGGCCGCCGACCAGTTTTCTTCAACCAACTCTGTCCAGGGCCTCCCTTTCGAGTTTTCGTTCATTCATCTCACATCTTTCTCTATTACTGACTAAGGTGAACTCGTAATAGTTCAAGCATATCAAATGACGTGTTGACTTGCGCGCGTAACACTTATACTACTGAATTAAAACAAACATAATCATAATAATAATAATAGCTTACTATTTCTGAAGATTGAATCATTACAATCATACAATTTTGAGATGGTGGAGAAAACTTGTAGCTCAGGTGGATGATTGTGGTGGTGTTTCGTTCTCTGAGAACGAAACACCACTACAATCATACAGAAAATCGTTTTTTCATGTGTAAAAAACCTAATTCCAACTTGCTCCCCACTTTATCACGTTGATTGTATCAACATACCATAAAACTAGACAGAAAAAAAGAAGAATCATATTTCATCTGAATGTGTATTTGTGTGTGTGCGTATTACGTAACATCAATGATCACTTCTTATGCCACAATCACTCTTGAATAATATGGATTTCGAAAGACCCTCATGCATGCATACATACTTACAACAACAACAACAACAACACAACCAGTTAAACCAATGTGTTTTTATACTACGCAACACTCTTAACTTACTATTTAGGAATAATACATGAAGATGTTAACTGCATCATACACTTAATGCTGGTACTTATTGTTACGTGTAGTTTTCTCTTTAACTAGCTACTTCATTTCGACTTGAATTCATTTGAAGTAATCATTACATATTTATATAAATATATATATGTATAAATTTTACGAAATTATTCTAATAATATATATTATCTTTTCTGATTTTGTGTTTTATTTTTCGACAATTTTTTGTTATTCAACATCAAAAAAGGTGTCAAGTTCAATTTGTCAACTAACTAACTAACTAACTAACTGCCTTGTGATTAACAAAACAACAAATGTGCTATTCATTATCAAATGAAATTTGGCGCAAAATATTCATTGTGTTCAATTCATTATTTACAGTAAGTATGCATATATATGTTTTCTGGTGGGTTTTTTTTTTTTTCTGACTGACTGACTCATTGATTGATTAATTGATTGATTGATTGACAAGTTAGGTGGGTGATCTTGTTCTCCTTGTGTTGGGTATCATTGTACAATGGACTTTATCAAACTATAGTACAATTTTACAATCTCCATTACCGGCAATATTTCCAACGATTATTTTCACTGGTTGTTTTGGTTTGCTCACATCGTCTATTGGATATGTTGGATTATGGAAACCAATGCATTGGATTGCTATAACGGTTAGTATGATTATTCACAATTAGCTTATCTTGTCTTATTTATTTAGCATATAGTTGGTTTGTGTATTGTGACACTGATTGAAACTGTTATAGCAACGGCATCCGCAGTGTTACATGATCAAGTTGGTTTCAATTAAAATTGAACATAAAATCATGATAATACTTTCATACATAGTTCAATACAACAACGCATACTTCATTATTACATAGTATAAAATTCTTTTATAATATATCACAATATGAAATAGAAATGAATCGATTACAAACGGAAGTAAGTTATCATTTTTTTTTCTGAGATAAAATGAACTTTCTTTTTTTCAAAGTTTACATGTTGTGGAGTTGAATCTTACTTGGATTATAGAAAAATTGGTTCGAATATACCATTCTCTTGTATTATTGGTTATTTAGTTTATGCAAAAGTAAGTCAATTAATTATATCGTCTTAAAATACATATATCTCAACGGTGTGTGTGTGTGTGTGCAGCAATCATACAATTTCCAGTATGTTCTTTACTGAAATGTCATGATTTTCCTTCCTAAAGACTCATACTGAGGGATAATTTTAGTGAGAAATTCTGAGTAGCTGGTTTCAACCATTACTTGATGACTTAGATCTGTTAACCCAAATGGTGCATAGGCCACTGACCAGCATTCTCCAACCTACACTGCCCGAAGCCTCTCTTTCCAGTTCTGTTCAAATGCTATTCATTCTTCTCGTGTCTGTCTTGATTTCTCAGCACAGTATGTTCTTTGATCTTCCTCTTCTCTGTTGGCATTGAGGGATGCATGTGAGGGCTTGTCTTGTGACTCAGTTGAGTGATTTTCTCAGCGTGTGACCTATCCACTCCCACCGCTTCTTCATGATTTCCTCCTCCACTCGAATCTGGTTTGTTCTCTCCCACAGTACGTTGTTGCTGATGGTGTCTGGCCAGCGAATCCAAAGTATTTTGCGTAGACAACTGTTAATAAACACTTGTATCTTCTGGATGATGGCTTTGGTAGTTTCCCAGGTTTCCGCCTCATACACTAGAACTGTCGTGACATTTGTACTGAAGATTCTGATTTTGGTGTTTGTTGACAGTTGTTTTGAGTTCCAGATGTTGTTCAATTGTAGAAATGCAGCCCTTGCTTCACTGATATGCGCCTTCACATCTGCATCGGATCCATTTTGGTTGTCGATGATGCTGTCCAGATATGTAAACGTGTTAACGTCCTCCAATGCACCTCTATCAAGAGTGATTTGGTTGGCGCATGTTGTGCTGTATCGAAGACTCTCGCTTTTTGCTTTGTGTATATTGAGACCCACTGCAGCAGAGGCTTCTACTACACTGGTCGTCTTCTCTTGCATTTGTTGTTGCGTGTTCGATAGGATAGCCATATCATCTGCGAAGTCTAAATCGTTCAGCTGCATCCTGGCCGTCCTAATCTCAACCATATGGAGTACAAAGTTAAGTATTACTACTGACAATAAATAATAATCTTACGATATTACTCATTTATAAATAATGGACACTGACATTATATGGGGCTTACATACTGATCTAAAGGTCCAGCGCTTACTGACAGGGATCTGAAGCCGCTTGGATTTGGATCTCCTCAACGATATCTTGTTAAATTGTTTAACACGAGAATGAACCCACTAATCAAGATATTTCAGCTACTAATCGTTGCTTCAACACCTAAATGTGATATTAACTAACACAGTTGAAGAAAAGATTGACTGAAAAAAGATTTCAAATCAACATCACATAAGAAACAAGGAAATAAGGCACTGGAGAATCGATAAACACAGAATCAAAAGACCATATAGATGAACTTCAGTAGCTGAATAATTAAATAATTTAACACTAGTTAATTTGAATTAAGAATAATGTGAGTTCAGAGATCAGTCATTTAAGATTTTGTTAGTAGAGTTGAGTTTCGGTGAAATCACGAATCGATCAATGTTAGACCACCATTAAAAACCTGAAAACACTGGACGGTCGTTTCGTCCTTGTATGGGACTCATCAGTATAGATGTTAAGCGTTCTCAAATGAGACCAAAGCTCCTGAGTTCTATTCCCACGAGTGAGTTTCTTAGTTGTGCACTACTGATGAGTCCCGTAATAGGGCGAAACACCCGTGCAACGCTTCCAAAATTCTAATGGTGGTCTAACATTGATCGATTCACTATTTCACTGAAACTCAATTCGTTAACTAAGATGAAATTACAAATAATTATAAAATGAAATGAACTGAAAGAGAGAGACAGAAAATCAGAAAAAAGTAAGACATAATGAAAAAATTGGCAAAACTTGTTAACCATTTAAATCAAACAATTAACTTTTAACTGTTAAACATTGAACAGCTACATCTCTTCAATGAATTAAAACAACACTAGAATCTTGATTGATTTCATGACATTCAACTGATTTCATCATTTTCTTTCTTATTCAGATGTTTAAATGCATTGGTTTGTGACATATTCACCAAAATTATGATAGGGAGTTCTTTTTACTTGTACGGTGTAACGTTTTTTAACTGTTACACATGCAAAGAAATTACACTACTAGCTGTAGGATGATAAGGACATCTGTAAACGTTTGATTGTACTGATAATCAGATTTTAATAATTTAAAAAACTATCAGACTAGACTAGTTTATGACTGGTGAATTTCTATAGTGATTGCCTCCGAGACATTATCACTTGTAAAGTTCGAATGAATAGTAATTAACTTTCTGATCTTGGTCAGTCAGTCAGATTCAACGTAGAACTTCGTACGTAAGTACATCAGTTCATGTCGCCATACCACATTAGCACAGAGATGTAATTGTCAATTCAAATCCAATATTAGTAGAGGTAGTAAAGGTATTGGAAGTAATCGGAGAGGTTAGGATTAGAAGATATTATTCAAGAAGTATGATTCAGTGAGAAAAGTTTAGAAAGTCAAAACTAGAGTTGTTGAAGAATCCAGAAGATTAGGATTTGAGAGAACACAAAGAATAAATGCATCGGCACCATTGCAAACGATTTCGAGCCATGTCATTCAGGGTCTCCAACCATCGATTATTATCATCTTGTGGACCCCAACAGGTAGTTGACAATTACCGACATGACTCAGTCCACTTCTCATCGACTTCATAGATTTCTGCCATGTTTTGGTTTGGCCGCCCCTAACTTTCTTCCAATCTACTTCTACATCACAAAACGTAGCTCAACCAGGCAGTCGGTGGTTGGGCATACGCAACACATGTGCCAACCACCTCAACTGATGAAGTTTCATTACTTAATCTACTGATCTGCCATTCTTACCTGATCTTGGTACTTTCTAAAAATATATTTCAAATATTCCGTTTTCCCAGTATTTGTAACGACAACGCTTGGGTGAAATTGTTGAAGGACTAAATATTTTTTTAGTATATTTCTCAATAAGATAATTTTATTTGAATATTTGGGAATATGTCAAAGTATTTGGCCTCTCTCTTTCTCAGTTACATAAAATATGACATTTCAAGAAAAGTGATATTCGTAACTCGACTCAATTAATGATGAATTAACAATTGCTAGACCACTGTTAGGAACCTGGAAGCACTGGAGGTCCGTTTCATCCTTGTATGGGATTCATCAGCAGTGTGTATCCACGACTCCTGCAACTCGTAGCATTCAAATTCAGGACCATCAGTCTTTTAAGCGAATGCCCGACCTCTGAACCATCGAACCGGTATCCAGCGGTGTTAATGTCTCACTCTGGCCTATCTAGGGATTATGCACGACTTCAATAATTTGTCTTCAGTAGTTACTGCCTACATCCGACTAGGTTGAACTTCACTGGTCACATCTTCTGACTAGAACTGTGAGAATTTCCTCATGAAACTAGTCACTAATAGTCCGGGAGTGATCATAAATTTTGCGATTTAGCAGCAGCCTTTAACCAACAATTCCTTCGTAGGAGAAACTGTTAGTATGTTCATCCAATATACTAAGAGAATTATTAGTCAATTCCTATCGGTTAATTCTTACTTGTCAATTTTATGGTCTTCCTAGATATCAATGTCATTTACTTCAATGTTTTTTCTTATTGGTCGTTCTGATTATCAATGTCACAGACTTCGACGCTGTTTCCTATTCGACCTAACTGTATAAATACTCATTATCTGTAACGTTTTATGACCCGTACCCGGATTCCTAGTCCGGGATCCTGATTCTCTTCTGAACTCGGACCTCGTACTTTCTGAATGCTTGTAGAATACACGTTCTACTTCATATCAAGTCTTCTGTTTCACTCAATGGGGGTTGGGATGCTCGGATTAGAGTAGTACGTCATATCGCCGGATCCTCGATCCTTACTCTCGTAATAGATAGTTCAAACAAATCAAAATAACGTGGTTACGTGCATGCATAACAGAAATGTACATCTTGAATTCCACTGTCAATCATCATCCATCTCTACTTATAAGCAAGAATATGTTATTATGTATTCTCGTCTAACACTTGTGATAGATAAATGAAAGAGATGGTGGAGAAAACTTGTAGCTCAGGTGGATGATTGTGGCAGTGTTTTGTTCTCTCTGAGCTGGTTGTTTTGGTTGTGGAGCTTTCATTGTTCTCATTCTGAACAACATCATCAGCACATCTGAAGTTTGTGCTGATGATGTTGTTCAGAATGAGAACAATGAAAGCTCCACAACCAAAACAACCAGCTCAGAGAACGAAACACTACCACAGATAAATGAAAGTTTTCATTGAAGCTGTAAATTAAATTTGTTCATTCTCTTTCTGTTGTTTTTTTTTATTGTTTTAATCAACAGGGATGTGCTGAATTATTAAGTCATTATGTTGAACAATATACAATTGCATTGATTACGTTATGTTTTCTATTTGCAATTATTCAAGCAATCTATTTGATTATATCAATTTTAATGCTGAATCGATCGATCGATAGCAAAAATTTATGTACATGAAGAATGGCGCACATGAGACTTATGCGTTGATTTGATTTGATTTATTTACATTTGACATTTGTTTTCAAAATAATTCAAAATAATGAACTCTCTACTACGTACGAACCATCATAAATGAAATGTTCCTTCTATAAAACTGACATTCTCCTTTCTGTTTTTTTTTTTGTTAATGATGTTTTAAATCAATAAATGAGTATTACTTACTTTCTTACTTAGGCCTTTTACCTCCTGAATGGATTGATCATAGGCCATTGACCAGTATTCGCCAACCTACACTGTCCTGGGGTTTCCTTTCCAGTTCTGACTTAATTTTTGTTCATTCTGCTCATGTCTGTCTGTCTCTATTTTTCGGGACAGTGTGTTTTTTGATCTTCCTCTTTTCCGTTGGCTTTGAAGATTCCCAGTGAAAGCTTGTCTTGTGATGCAGTCGGATTCTTTCCTCAATGTATGTCCTATCCGTCTGCAGCACTTCTTCCTGATTTATTACCCCAATGGAATGTGGTTTGCTGGTGGTGTCTAGTCAATAGATAAGAAGTATTTTACATATATTGAACTGTTAATAAACACTTGTATCCTCCGGATGTAAGATAAGTTTAGTGTCGTAAGACCAGAGAATTCATAGATTTACAAATGTTTCGAATAGGTAAATGTTGATCGACAAAGGTAAATTTATCTTATCAGCTAAGAATTGAAGAGATTGTCGAGTTTCATGGAAATTATGAACCAGTCGATTGAAAACCTAGACGCATTGAACGGCCGTTTTGTACTAGTATAAGACTACTCAGTAGTGTATATCCAGGTCCTCACAAGCGGGAACCGAACTTAGGAGCTTCGATCTTGCTCACAAACACTTAAGCTCTTGACTCATCGGTTTCAATGTCTGGTTTTAATCATTTCGCAATAATGAGCGACCATTATCCATTGTCTTCTGTTGGTAACTGCTTCACTCAGCTGCATGCTGGCTCAACGATCTAGAGATTAGGCTTTCGCAAGAGAAACCGAAGGTCCTTGTGTGATTATCGCTAGTCACAAGCTGTCAAATAAGTAGTAAGCAGTGGAGCATTGTCTAGAAGATACAATCAGTGAGAAAAGTATCAAGAGATAAAAAGGCACGGCATGATTAGAGTATTTCGAGGACTAGAAGAGATTGGAAAGAGGACAGTTAATATCCAGCTTGTATCGCAAATAAATGTTTGAAGAATATGTGGATATATTTTACAATTAAACTAACTATTCCTGACTTCTTTTTTTACAGTGTACTGCGCAGTAGTTCGCTCCGTCTTATTTTATGGCTGTGAAACATGGCCAGTGAGAATAGAAGATATTCGTCGGCTATTGGTTTTCGATCATAGGTGTCTTCGAAGCATTGCTCGTATATCATGGGACACCCGAGTGAGCAACGCTGTTATTAGGAATCGGGTACTAGGTAAGAATGGCAGATCAATAGATGAAGTAATGAAACTTCATCAGTTGAGGTGGTTGGGACATGTGTTGCGTATGCCCAACCACCGACTGCCTTGAAGAGCTTTGTTTTGTAGAGTAGGAATAGGTCGGAAGAAAGCTGTGGGCAGCCAGACCAAAACATGACAGAAATCCATAAAGTCAATGAGAAGTGGACTGAGTCATGTTGGTAGGTGTCGACAACCTGGTTGGGACCCGCGAGATAATAGTAATCGATGGTTAGAGACCCTGAATGACATGGCTCAAAATCGTTCGCAATGGGGCAGGTGCATTCATTCTTTGTGTTTTCGCAAATTCTAACCTTCTGAATTCCTCATCACCTTTATCTTTTTTCTCTCAAGTTTGTGTCACTAGATTCTACTTCTTGATTAATATCTTCGAACCCTAAAATTTTCAATTACTGCTAATAATTCTACTACCTCTACTACTGCGGGATTTAAAGTGACAATTGCATCTCTGTGCGTTAATGTGGTATGGCAACTTGAAGTGTAATGTACATACGTACGAAGTTCTGCGTTGTTGACTTGACTTGACTTGACTTGAATCATCTGATTGAAAATCGAATTGATTTACTTAATAATTTTATGGAAATATTTGAAGTCTTTCACTGAAATTAATCATTGAGTAATTTAATTAAATTAACTCCGCCAGTAGAACCTTAGGGGCTACTGCCGGTCCCAAGCCCGGATAAAGGAGGAGGGTTGGACATGGGGTTGGCGACCCCATTCCGTTGAAATCTCACTTGCCAAAAAAACGCTAACCAGAAAAATTAATTCAAACCATTTTAACTCTGCCCTGGGAGTTGGAAGAAGAATTATGACGTCTCGTGATGAAAGCCGAGTTCCCTCGGAAGTCACGGGGCCGATGCCTCTTCTGACAACCAGAGCAACCATTTTTTTAGGTACATGGAACGTTCGTACATTGTGGGAGACTGGAAGACTATTTCAAGTTGCGGCAGAAATGAAACGATACAACCTCGAGGTGCTCGGCATCAGTGAAACGCATTGGACACAGGTAGGACAACTGAGACTAGCTTCAGGGGGACTGCTGTTATACTCTGGTCATGAAGAGGAAAATGTTTCACATACACAAGGAGTTGCACTGATGCTGTCCAAACATGCACAAAAGGCACTGATAGGATGGGAATCTCATGGACCGAGGATCATTAAAGCATCCTTCAAAACAAAGAAACAGGACATTACAATGAACGTCATCCAATGTTATGCACCTACCAATGACTACAATGACGACGTTAAAGATCAATTCTACGAAAGGCTGCAGTCAATCGTCGATAAATGTTCACCAAAGGATTTGACGATTCTTATGGGAGACCTGAATGCCAAGGTTGGAATGGACAACACTGGATATGAAGACATCATGGGACGACATGGACTGGGAGAAAGGAACGAAAATGGTGAGAGATTTGCAAACCTATGTGCCTTCAACAAACTGGTCATCGGTGGCACAATATTCCCGCACAAACGCATTCACAAAGCCACATGGATTTCACCGGACCACACTACTCAAAACCAAATTGACCATATCTGTATCAACAAAAGGTTTAGAAGGACCATGGAGGATGTGAGAACCAGGAGAGGAGCTGATATAGCTTCAGATCACCACTTGCTGATCGCCAAAATGAGATTGAAGCTAAAGAAGCACTGGACAGCGGGACAGACAACATCACACAAGTTTAATACGGCCTTTCTTCGGGATACCGTAAAACTCAACGAATTCAAGATAGCCCCTACCAATAGGTTCCAGGCCTTTCAGGATCTACTCAATGGAGAGGAAGCAACATTGGAGAACAATTGGAAAGGGATTAAGGAGGCAATCACTTCAACATGTCACGAAGTTCTGGGTCACAAGAAGTACCATCACAAGGAATGGATCTCTGTTGATACTCTTGCAAAAATTGAAGAAAGGAGGAACAAGAAGGCAGCAATCAATGTCAGCCGAACAAGAGCAGAGAAAGTCAAGGCGCAAGCCGAGTATACAGAAGCGAACAGGGAAGTGAAGAAGAGCATCAGAGCTGACAAACGAAAATATGTGGAAGATCTAGCAATGACGGCGGAAAAGGCTGCAAGAGAAGGAAACATGAGACAATTGTACGAAACAACAAAGAAGCTCGCCGGAAACTATCGTAAACCAGAACGACCAGTGAAAAGCAAGGAAGGCAAAGTAATCAGCAACACTGACGAACAGCGAAATAGGTGGGTGGAGCACTTTAAGGAACTATTGAATCGACCAGCTCCACTGAACACACCCAACATCGAAGCAGCATCCACGGACCTCCCAATTAATATTGACGCACCTACGATTGAGGATGAGGAACAAGTACCATCAGATTGGAAAGAAGGATACCTCATCAAAATACCAAGGAAAGGCGATCTCAGCAAGTGTGAAAACTACAGAGGCATCACTCTTCTTTCAATACCAGGCAAAGTCTTCAACAGGGTATTGTTAAACAGAATGAAGGACTTCGTAGACGCCCAACTTCGAGATCAACAGGCTGGATTTCGTAAGGATCGATCGTGTACTGACCAAATTGCTACATTACGGATCATTGTGGAACAATCAATTGAATGGAACTCACCACTCTACATCAACTTCATCGACTACGAGAAAGCATTTGATAGCGTGGATAGGAAAACACTGTGGAGGCTTCTTTGACACTACGGTGTGCCTGAGAAAATAGTCAACATCATACGGAATTCTTATGATGGATTCAACTGCAAAATCGTACACGGAGGTCAGCTCACAGACTCTTTCGAGGTGAAGACCGGTGTGAGGCAGGGTTGCTTACTCTCACCCTTTCTCTTTCTCCTGGTGATCGACTGGATTATGAAGACGTGAAAATCTGGAGGGAAGCACGGTATTCAGTTGACAGCTAGGATACAGCTGGACGATCTGGACTTCGCAAATGATCTGGCTCTTCTATCGCACACACAACAACAAATGCAAGAGAAGACGACCAGTGTAGCAGCAGCCTCTGCAGCAGTAGGTCTCAACATATATAAAGGAAAAAGCAAAATTCTCCGATGCAACACAACATGCACCAACCGAATCACGCTGGATGGAGATACCTTGGAGGACGTTAACACCTTCACATATCTTGGCAGCATCATCGACGAGAAAGGTGGATCGGACGCAGATGTGAGGACGCTGATTGGCAAAGCGAGGGCTGCATTTCTACAGTTGAAAAATATCTGGAACTTCAAACAACTTTCAAACAAAACCAAAATCAGGATTTTCAATACAAATGTCAAGACAGTTCTACTGTATGGAGCGGAAACATGGAGAACTACGAAAGCCATCATTCAGAAGATACAAGTGTTTATTAACAGTTGTCTACGCAAAATACTTCGAATTCGTTGGCCAGACACCATCAGCAACAACGAACTGTGGGAGAGAACAAGTCAGATTCGAGTGGAAGAGGAAATGAGGAAGAAGCGGTGGAAGTGGATAGGACACACATTGCGGAAAGCACCCAACTGCGTCACAAGACAAGCCCTCACATGGAACCCTCAAGGCAAAAGGAAAAGAGGAAGGCCAAAGAATATATTACGCCGAGAAATAGAGAAAGATATGAGAGGAATGAACAAACATTGGACAGAACTGGAGAGGGAAGCCCAGGACAGAGTTGGTTAGAGAAAACTGGTGGGCGGCCTATGCTCCATTGGGGGTAACAGGCGAAAGTAAGTAAGTAAGTAAAGTAAGTAATTTAATTAAATTAGTTTAGAATTAATG